CCTGGAGGGTCACCGGCCCCAACTGCAGTGGTAACAGCTTGAGTCACACTGTCCGTTCACCCGTTTTCCTTCCCTCTGACTCTCTCCCCACTTTTAGTCTCCCTAGGATCACCTCCTTAAAAATATGGAGCGCCTGGGTGATGGTGACACTTTTGATCCCTACACTCTGAAAACGGAAGAAGCAGATGGATTTCTCTGAGTTCAAGGTCAACCTGGGCTGCATAGCAAGACCCTGTCTCAAAACAAACAAAATTAACAGCTGGGTTAAAGGAGAGGGACACATGGAGGTGTTCTAAGTGGTATAGCTTCAATTTTATGAAAAGAGTCATGGAGGAGATGGTTGGGATGCCTACTCAACACTGTGCATATTTGTTTATAAATTTTCTGAGGCCAGATCTCTTTACGATGAGCAGTCTGGCCTGGTTATAGGGCGAGGCCTGTATTTCAGTGGTAGAGCACTTGTGTACCTTGTACCAACTCCTGGCACCCAACACCACCAGTAGAAAAACAAAACAAAACACTAATATGTTCCTGTTGTTTTTAATTTTTATAAATTGACCTTTCATCATAAACCATCATTGAACACTCATTTGATTGACGTTTTCTCCACTTTGTTGTTAGCACCATGCAAGGACGGAACCAGAGTGGCCTAGTTAGCGTCTACTGTCAGGCTGACAGAGTCTGGCATCATCTAAGGGAGTCTCAGCTGAGGGATTGCCCAGATCAGGCTGGCCTGTGTCTGTGAGAGACCGTCCTGACTGAGGACTGGTGTAAGGGGCCAGCCTATGGTGAGCAGCACCATCCTTAGGCAGGGGGGCCTTCGCTATATCAGAAAGCTGAGCGGCACATAGGCCAGTGAGCAGCATTCCTCTCTGGTTCCTGCCCTGACTTACCTTAACGATGCATTGTGACCTATAAATATAAGCTAAATGAACCCTTTCCTCCCCATGTTGTTTTTTGTCTAACAGAGGATTTTATTATAGCAACAGAAAAAAACAACTAGAACAGAGTGTTTACAGATTCTGGAATCAGCAGCTGCCATGATGCTTGTCAGTAGCAGGTTCTCCATATATCCTGGCTGGGGTGAATAAGAGCTACCTTTTTACCCTGAAGGTGGCCTTTCTACTCCTACAGGTCCCAACAGTTCCCCAAGTCAGCTGTCAGTAATTAAGACACTTAGATTTCTTCTTATTTTTTCCTTTCCTTTGCTTTTCTGTTTGTTTGTTGTTTTGTTTCTTGAGATAGGGTCTCACTATGTAGTCTTGACTGTACTGGAACTCACTCTGTAGACCAGGCTGGCTTCTAACTCAGAGATCTGCCTGCCCTTGCCTCCTGAGTGCTGGGATTAAAGGTGTGCGCCACCACTGCCAAGACACGATACTTAGATTTCATCTAAGCAAAAATATCTTGTTCCTTTGGATTGGGGTAGATTCAGGAAGGTGCAAAGGATTTCAATGTTGTCTAACTGTAAAGAAAATAGCTTGTCTTCTTCTTGCATTGTCCCTCCAAGTACCAGAGGCCAGCAATGCGGAGGACTAGGGATTACCAAAGGAAAAGGCCACAATGCACCAGAAACATCCCACCGAGCCCTAGAGGTAAACAAGAGGGCAGGTGAACAGGAACTTCAGCCTCGAGACCCATGGCTGTGTTTGTTCTTCTTATAGTCAACTTCCTGCCTATGTGTCCTGCCAACCCTTCTAGCCCACACTTCCGGTCTCCTTGGGCCACACCCAGGGTTGTCATGGGAGTAAATGAAGCTTTGGGTTTAGAGGCTCAGGCTGCCTCCAGCTGTCAGCGCTGAAGGTGCAGGATTGATGAGGCCGTCTCCACTGCCCTGTCCTCCCTTTCCTCTCGTTGTTAGAGGACATGGCTGAATAAACCTCATGGTAGTTGCATCCAGATACACACCTGGGCCTAAGAGGGAACGAAACCCCTTTGTGAAGGAGAGCACAGTGATGTGTAAGGCGCCTGGTTGCATCCTCGTCGTCAGAACTGGATGTGGTGCAGGTTCTGGCTCTAGCTTGTGCCTGGGAATGACTAAGAGGAGAAGAGCTCTGGGCAGCCACACCAGTCAGCACAGAGCCCAGCCCCCGCAGTCCTCTGGGGCCGAGGAGCCCTGCCCAGGAGAGCTGGCTTTGTTTGCATCCTATGAGTAAGCTGTGTGCTCATGTGTTTGGGCGTGGCCAGTTCTAGTCACTACATAACCTCGAAGGACTCCAGTCTTAGGTTTGTGCGGTGTTTCTCCTGTGGGAAGAGTGCAGGTTCCCCTTCAGAGGATTATAGATGGATACCGTGGTCTCTGGGTGAATGTAGAGCCCCAGTGCTTCTAACACATAGTTGCTTGCTCTTGAATTCCTCTTCAAGTCCAAAGGAATTCAATGCTGCTGTTGGATATAGAGAGACTGTTCCCACACTGGCTCTGCCCCTCTCCACATCAGGAGTGCTTCTCTCCAGTCACCCACAAAGCCTGTCAGCGGCTGTGATATGGCCTCTTGTACAACAGTTGGGCTCTGTAAATCTGCCTCTTGCTCCACTTTCAACTCCAGGATGGATAAACACTGCCAAAGGAATGGAAGGGAATGAGCATTATCTGGAGACCGCACTCACAGGGCCGCACACCCACAGAGTACATCTTGGGTTTCCGACAGAGGTGTGTTGCAAGTGAAAGGTGGTGTCTTGTGTCAAACACTATGGAGCTAATGATAGTGGGAGGTGGGTAGCAAATGATACTGCTGTGGATTCCCAGCTTAGGAAAGCACAAATGCATCTTGGCAGACGGTGTTCAGGCTGGTAATCTCTCCATCTAACCTACTCTCCCAGTCCTTGCAAGCCAGTCACCAATGTGGGTGGGGCGTTATCTCGTGGGAACTGCTCCCAAGGACCTGACATTCCATTTCAGAATACGTAAGGCATGTTCCCAGACCAAGGGCCCCAAAGAGGGGCCACAATTACACTATGTGCTGTAGATCACACGTGGATGGTTTAACTTGTAAGCCCTAGCTTTGCTGGTCAAGCATTAAATATGTGGATTTGAAATCTATAGTATTTGCCCTTTCCTTGCTTATTGTAACACTGCTGAGGTTAGGGGCAGGTATCAAAAGTGCTCAACACAGAGCCCACGTCTGTTCTCAGATTTGTAACACTGCTGAGGTTAGGGGGCAGGTATCAAAAGTGTTCAACACAGAGCCCTCGTCTGTTCTCAGATTTGGGTATTGGCAAAGGTACTAAATACATATGCCAATTAAGAAATGAAAATCCAGGGCTGGAGAGATGGCTCAGTGGTTAAGAGCACTGGCTGCTCTTCCAGAGGTCCTGAGTTCAATTCCCAGCAACCACATGGTGGCTCACAACCATCTGTAATAAGACCTGGTGCCCTCCTCTAGCATGTGGGCATACATGGAGGCAGAATGTTGTATACATAATAAAAATTTAAAAAAAGAAATGAAAATCCAGTCATTATTCAAAGAATAAATATTTCAACATACCATCTCAAGCTATAATTAAAGGCATGAAGCTTTGTTACTGGGAGAACAAAAAAACAGAGAGGCAAACAGCTATTTTTGGAATTGTTCTTATCTTCAATGCAATCTACTACTTACTATTCAACGGCCTAAATAAAATACCATAAATTGATACATTGGAGAAATGGCTTACAGAAAACGGGAGAAATGCAGAAGGGGATGAGAACAAGAGAAAAAGATCTTTTCTCTCACAAAATGATTTAGGGGAAAAAACGAAATAATTAAAATCCGCAGCCTTTGTATCACAAGTTGAGAGATAGTACATTTTAGTTTGCCCTAAATTTACTTTCCATTTTGTTATGTCTTCCAACAAAAAATATTATTTTAAGAGTAGGATAGACACAAACAACATGTGTGTACACTAAAGAAATTTGTTATATGTATCAAGGATTGTATTATTTCACACATGACAAATCAAATGCAAGACTCCATATGTGTATGTATGTGTATATGTATATATGTATATACAAATGTACATATGTGAGAACATGTATGTGTGTATGTATAGGTATGTCTTTGTATGCTCATATACACACATACATAGTCTTCCTTCCATATCTAGGAGGAATTTGTTGTGGGATCCCTTGGAATACTAGAATCTGTACATGACCCAAAAAGCCCCTGATGTAAAACTATGTGACACTTACATCTAACCTATTCATATCTTCTGTGTACTTGAATCATTCCTAGATTAATGGGAATATCAACTTCAATGTAAATATAAAGCAGATGGTTGACTGTTACAATGTATTTTTGGAGACTAATGAGAAGAAAAATGTATACTAGTTATACATGTGGTATGAATCTGTAATCCCAGCACTTGAGAGGCAGTGGCAGGAGGATCATAATGAGTTTGATTGGGCTACAAAGTGAGATTACATTTAAAAACAAAGCAAATGGAAGGAAGGAAGGAGGAAGTGTTTAAATAATGTCAAATCAAAGCTACAGGATGAAAAAAGACAAATGAAAAATTTTCCCCCAAACAAGGTTTCTCTGTGTAGCCCTGGCTGTCCTGGAACTTGTTCTGTAAACCAGGCTGGCCTCACACTTAGGAATCTGCCTGTCTCTGAGTGCTAGGATGGCAGGTGACACCACCACCTGGTGACAAATGAAATGTTTTGGTTTTTTGAGACAGGGTTTCTCTGTAGTTCTGGAACCTGTCCTGGAACTCGCTCTTGTAGACCAGGCTGACCTCGAAATCACAGAGATCCGCCTGCCTCTGCCTCCTGAGTGCTGGGATTAAAGGCGTGTGCCACCACACCTGGCGACAAATGAAATCTTAAAGAGAATAGTTGGCAGTGCTGGAGCATCGAACCCAAGCTGGACTTCCAGAACCCACATCGGGCAGTCCCACTGTCAGGATCGCTACGGACCCAAGCTGGACTTCCAGAACCCACATCGGGCAGTCCAACTGTCAGGATCGCTGACATTTTCACTTGTGCACGTACCACATACAGATACATATAATTAAAAACAATAGTTCTTGCTTTGGCAGTACATGTACTAAAAGTTGGAATGATACAAGAGATTAGCATGGCCCCTTTGCAAGAATAATACACAAATTCGCAAAGCATTCTATATTTAAAACAGTAATAATATAATAAATCTTTTTTTAAGGAAAGATAATTAACCAGTTGTCCTAGAATATTGACTTTTTGAAGTTTTTTTTCAAGTTTTATAGAGATGGAGAGGCCATGTGTTCTACTGAGTTTATGTGGAGGTCGGATGGCGACTTGTGAGAGTTGGTTCTCGTCTTCTAGGAGGTGAGTCCTGGTGGTGGAGCTCAGGTTATCAGCCTTGGGCAAGGGCGTTTACCCAGAGACGGGGTTTTCACTGTTTAGCTCTGGCTGTCCTGGAACTCACTTTGTAGACCAGAGATCTTCCTGCATCTGCCACTCGAGTGCTGGGATTAAAGGCATGTGCCACCACTGCCCTGCTTTAAATTAATTCTTAATTAATAGTGTTTTTTTTCCTGGATTGCATACATGATTGACCCTCCATATTGACGGATTCTGCATCTGCAGATCTTATCAACTGTGGACTGAAAATATTCAGAGAGAAAAGGCAGACTTTGTGGTCCACACCTGTAATCCCAGAATTTGAGAGACTGAGGCAGGAAAATTATGAGTTTGAAAGGGATGGAGAGATGGCTTCGTAATCTCTGAACTCATGTAGAGGGCCTGAGTTCATCAGGCCTGTAATTCTAGACTGGGGGACCCAACACCTTTGACCTCCTGGGTAGCTCACATGCACATAACTATACACAGACACATGCATGATTACAAACCATGAATCTTTTCTAAGAAGAGTTTGAGGCCTGTATTTGCTACATAGACTCTGTCAAAGAAGAAGCGAAGGAGGTAGAAGAGGAGGAGGTGAGGAGGGGGCTGGGTAGGTGGCTCCGTGATTGGGAGCACTGACTGCTCTTCCAGAGGATCTGGGTTCAGTGGCCAATACCCACATGGCAGCTCATAACCATCTGCAACTCCAGTTCTAGGGGATCGGTTGTCCTGTTCAGAGCACGTCCTCTTCAGCCTCTGTGGGCCCTGTGCACAGGTGGTGTACAGACATATGGGCAAGTATTCATATGCATAAGACTTAGAAGAAGGAAGAGGGCTGTGCGGAGAGTCTGGGGATGTATGTAGTTGGGTTGGTAGAGTACCTAGCAGGCAGGAAGCTCTGGGTTCAGTTCCTAATCCTACATACAATCAGGCAGTTTGCATGCCTGTAACGCCAGCACTCACGAGGGAGCGGCAAGATGGTAAAAGATTAAACTTGACCCTCAACCGCCTGCCTGGGCTACACAAGACCCTGTCCCAGAAAGAAAAAAAATAACACATAATGTATGTTTAAGGGTTACTTGAGGATTAGCTCGGAGTTATGGGCGATACACGCCTTTAATTCTAATTCTCTGGAGTCAGAACTTTTTGTACAGCCCAGATTTCCACCCATAGCGAGGCAGTCTCACTTCCCCTGCAAATTGGAAAGAGATGTATTTTTTTAAAGTAGATAATATGATGCTGGGGATAAAGGTCAGTGGAAGAGCACCTATTTAGCATGCACACAGTCCCGGATACCATCTTTTATGGCACCACGAGACATAAATAAATACAGTAAATGATGGATGAACCTGAAGCGCACAGATACTGGCAATGAAGCCTCCATGAGGACCGGCTGGAGTTCTGATGTCTGTTTACTTCTGAGCAGTGCCGTGAGAATAATTAGTGTTTGTCCATGTATCCGAGATCTTCAGATGAAAGGACGTGTGGAGAGTCTAGAATTAACATGAGATTCCCATGACTCAAAGCCTCAGAGGACATTTCCCAGCACCTTCCAGAGTTTGCAGGCTGGGAAGAGGCCAGGGCCCCTCCCCTGACAGTGGCTGAGAGGTGGCCGCACAACACTTGGTGTTCAGGGAAGGCAAATCTGAAAATAAGGCTGGAGGTAATGAGGATCCAAACCGAACAAACCCTCAGCTTCCTGAGCCATCGTGAGCTGGGGGTGCTGGGAGGAGCCGTTTGGTAGGGAGTTGTTGGCCTCTGGGGACGGTTATCTTGTTCCTGATCCTGCGTGAGTCTCAGATACTGATGTGACAGTCAGGCGCAGCCCACCTGGATTCGGAGCTGCATGATCTATCAGTCATCACAGCTCAGAGTATTTTCTGGTTTAAGGATGCAGATTTAAGACTCATGGTCCTTGCGAAGCTTCACGGACACCAGTCTTCTCTCTCCCCGTTCCTACCTCTCCCTACTCTCCAACCCTCTCACCCTCCCTTCTGGATAATACAGCTGATCTCTTTAAAAATCTTTTCATTGCTGGGCAATGGTGGCACGCACCTTTCACTTGGGAGGCAGAGGCAGGTGGATCTCTGTGAGTTCAAGGTCAGCCTGGTCTACAAAAACTAGTTCCAGGACAGTCAAGGCTACACAGAGAATTCCTGTCTTGAAAAACAAAACAAAACAAACAAAAACAAAAAAAGAAAGAGAAAGTGTATTGTGTGTATTTGTGTGTGTGTGTAATGTGTGTGAAGGAGATCAGAGAACAACTTGTGTGAGCTGGTTCTCTCCTTCACGACGTGAGTCCAGGGATTTAACTCAGGCCACCAGGCTTGTTGGCAGGTGCTTTTCCTGATTATCAGCTGATATTCTGTCGTGACTCACACTAGAGAACAGGTTTTCTCCAGCCTCCATGTTCCTTGAAAATAAACCCCCTCTCGCTTTTCCTCTTTGCTCTGTTCCTGCATCCTTGCTTTGGGAGGCTTGGATTGGTCCCTCTTCCGCAGCATCAGTTCACTAGCCATAAACAACATCTCTATGTCAAAAGCTGTGACTGCCCATGTTCACATGGAAAGAAAAGAATTCCAGCATGTCTGTAGGCCCAGGCAGACACAGAGAGTTTTGACGAAGCAGTAAATCATAAGATGCTGTTAGGGTGTGTCTCAGATGGGTTGGCAAAAGACCAAACATCCTCAGTTGTGAGCTAGAAAGGAGGGAAGGAGAGGAATGGAAGGAGGGTAGAAAAGAAGGGTTTAACAGACAGGCCTTATGCCCTGGTGTGATCACAAAGCTGCTTCTTCTTCTTCTTCTTCTTCTTTTTTTTTTTAAGTTTTGCCAGACAGGGTTTCTCTGTGTAGCTCTGGTTGTCCTGGAACTCACTCTGTAGAGCAGTCTGGCCTTGAACTCAGAGATTCATCTTCCTCTGCCTCCCCAAAGTGATGGAGTGCATCACCAACACCTGGCTCTGGCTCTTGCTTTGCATTTTGAGGAATGTAAAACTTAATAGACAACGAGCCAAGACAACATTCACATCAAATGCTCATCCCTTCATCAGGCCAGTCATTTCCTGGTTTTTGAGGGACAATTTTGGTTAGGGTGCAGTGTGAGATGAAGCCTTCCCCAGGCTGTGGTGGCTGGCATACCCAGAAAGCCTGCGATTTAATAATAAGGACAATAACAAGTTCCCTAAAGATTCCAATCCTGACCCTAACCTAGAGGGTGTAAGTTGGTTCTTGTCTGTTTGCATTTGAGACGGGGTCTCATATAGGCCAGGTTGGCTTCAAACTCATGTCGCCAAGGATGGTGGTGGCACTCGCCTTTAATCCCAGCACTCTGGAGGCAGAGGCAGGAGGATCTACAGAGACTGGTCTACAGAGTGAGTTCTGGGACAGCCAGGGCTACACAGAGAAATCCTGTCTCAAAAAAGCATGCAAGCAAACAAACAAACCCAACACACACACACACACACAAAGTATAAAGTCACAATTTTTTCCATTTTGCTGTGTATTCTGGTGTTAGGATTGGTGGCTCAGGGCCAGCAGGACTGATCTTTCCTTTGTCTTTACGTTGAGAGGAAACCCTGTAAGCAGTCTCAACACTGTATGACTTGTTGTCCATCAGCAGAACTTCCAGCTCCTTGATACTGGGGACCAAGAACTTACAGAAACCACTGTGAACATGTGCTTTGCTTTCTTTCTCCTTACTCACATAACCACATTGGGCACCAAAACCTGACCCTTAAATTTCTCTGCAGGGTTGTGCTAGTGCCCTGGGTTCCCACAAGCACCTTCATTTGGCTCATTAGTCTGATTGGTGCCAGGGAACTTCTCAGTTGGGATTTGATGGTTCTGAGATTTAGGGGAGGTCTGAGAGTAGCTGAGATGCCGCAGGAGATGATGGCCAGTGCCATGAACAACACCAGACAGAAATGGCGGAAGGGGCAGTTGTGAAATGGAATCTAACAATTGAGCAATGCTTTGTCCTCAGAAGCTCATGTCTGGCTGGTATTGGTGTCTGCACGGAGACAATGGTGTGGACGGCCTTTGCTTTCTGACTCACACTTCAGGGAAACAAACAACTAGGACTGGAAAGAGCACTAACTTTCTAATTCTTCTTGCTTTTGTATGTGTGTGAGTGTGCACGCGTGCACATGTGTACAATAGAGTGTACATGCTGTTGTGAGTGAAGGCCAGAGAGAAACTTTGAGTATTCTTCTCCATTGCTTTCCACCTTATCTTTTGATAAGGCGGGTCTCTCACTGAATCCAGTACTCACTAATTGGCTAGGTTGGTGGCCAGTGGGGCCTGCGAGCCCTGGGATCTGCCTGTCTCTGCCTCCCTTGGGCTAGGCTGTCAGATGCACGAGACCGTGTTTACTTTCTTTAGGTGGGTTTTAGGGATATGAAGTCTAGTTCCTTTTCTTGCCTAGTAGGCCTTTTCCTGACTGTACCATCTCTCTAGCCCCCGGGTTTCTGGAATTTTTCTTCAGAAAGCAGCAGGCGAATGAGCTAGGGGTTTCTCACAGTTCTTGCCCCTGGCCTTGAACATCTCTGCATCCCTGGACACTGGCAGGCAGCATCACCACCAGGGATCGTGTCAGAAATGCACACTGCTCTCAGAAGAACAGAATCAGAGAGTTGTTCATGGGCGGGGGGCCCTGGAAGGTGTTAAGATTTGACAGTCATTGGCCCAAGGGGGAAAGTGTATTACTAGGTGGTGAAAATTGGGAGCGTGCTTTCGTCTGTTAATGACTATGCTTTAATCCTAGTGTAAATCGATATTCTTAGCTAGGTATGGTGGCATATACTTGT